TCTTCCATGAAGTGGGACTGGCTTGTGTATTCAACCTTAGTGGTCTGGCTTTAAAATTGACCAATCTGTTTTGGATTTCTCACATGACATTTGGTAATATGCACTTGCATCAACAGCTCCAGTGGCTCAATCGGTCAGCGTGCGGTACTTATAAGGCAGTATGCAGCAGAGTAATGCCGAGGTTGTGAGTTCGAGCCTCATGTAGCACTGGAGTTCAAAGCCTAAGATAAACGATCAGTTGAAAATTAGATTTGTCTTATCACTTAGAAGAAAAGTCATGGTGTAGATTTTAAAATCAGTCCAACTAAAAAGCATAGTGTTTGGTAATATGCATTTGAGTCAACAACTCAAGTGGTGTAATTGGACAGCAGCTCCAGCGGTGCAATCAGTCAGCTTGAGGTTCTTATAAGACAGTACAGAGCAGAGAAATGCCGAGGTTGTGAGTTCAAAGCTCACCTGTGGCAAGTTTTAAAAAATTGAGTGATATTTCAGTAGCACAGGAGGTCATGGCTTAACATTAAAGATTGGTTGAAAGTCAGATGTCCGTAATCGGTTAGAAGAAAGTTCATGGGGTGTTGTGAAAGGTCAGTCTAATTGAAAACCAGCCTACTATTGAATGCCCATCTTCAATTGACGCGCTAACATTTTGCAGCTTGTGTGCTAGTCTTCCATGAAGTGGGACTGGCTTGTGTATTCAACCTCAGTTGTCTGGCCTTAAAATTGATCAATCCGTTTTGGATTTCTCACATGACATTTGGTAATAAGCATATGCATCAACAGCTCCAGTGGCGCAATCGGTCAGCGTGCGGTACTTATAAGACTGTATGCAGCAGAGCAATGCTGAGCTTGTGAGTTCAAGCTTCACCTGGATTATGGTTTTAGAAAGCGAGAGACATTTCATTAGCAATAGAGTTCAAAGCCTAAGATAAACGATCAGTTGAAAATTAGATTCCTCTTATCACTTAGAAGAAAAGTCATGGTGTAGTTTTTAAAATCAGTCCAACTAAAGAGCATAGTGTTCGATAATATGCATTTGAGTCAAAAGCTCCAGTGGTGCAATAGGACAGCGGCTCCAGTGGCGCAATCAGTCAGCTCGTGGTTCTTATAAGGCAGTATGCAACAGAGCAATGCCAAGGTTGTGCATTCAAGCCTCACCTGGGTTAAGTTTTTAGAAATTGAGTGACATTTCAGTAGCACTGGAGGTCATGGCTTAACATTAAAGATTGGTTGAAAGTCAGATGTCCGTAATCAGTTAGAAAAAAGTTCATGGGGTGTTCTGAAAGGTCAGCCTAATGGAAAACCAGCCTACTATTTAATGCCCATCTTCAATTTAGTGCTAACATTTGGCAGCCTGTGTGCTAGTCCTCCATGAAGTGGGACTGGCTTGTGTATTCAACCTCAGTGGTCTGGCCTTAAAATTGGCCAATCCGGTTTGGCTTTCTCACATGGCATTTGGTAATATGCTCTTATATCAGCAGCTCCGGTGGTGCAACTGGTCAGCGTGTGGGACTTGTAAGACAGTACGCAGCAGAGCAATGCCGAGGTTGTGAGTTCGAGTCTCACCTGGAGCAAGGTTTTAGAAAGCGAGAGACAAGCAGTAGCCATGGAGTTCAAAGCCTAAGATAAATGATCAGTTGAAAATTAGATTTCTCTTATCACTTAGAAGAAAAGTCATGGTGTAGTTCTTAAAATCAGTCCAACTAAAGAGCATAGTGTTCGGTAATATGCATTTGAGTCAAAAGCTCCAGTGGTGCAATAGGACAGCGGCTCTAGTGGCGCAATCAGTCAGCTCGTGGTTCTTATAAGGAAGTATGCAGCAGAGCAATGCTGAGGTTGTGCGTTTAAGCCTCACCTGGATTAAGTTTTTAGAAATTGAGTGACATTTCAGTAGCACTGGAGGTCATGGCTTAACATTAAAGATTGGTTGAAAGTCAGATGTCCGTAATCAGTTAGAAAAAAGTTCATGGGGTCTTGTGAAAGGTCAGCCTAATGGAAAACCAGCCTACTATTGAATGCCCATCTTCAATTGA